CCTGACAAGTATCACTGCTGATCATGCCTGATACTCTGGCCTGAACCAGTGCAAAACCTTTTCATGATTGAGTCACAACTGATTTCATGACTGTATCATGCGTGTATCGTGACTGATTGCCCAAAATAAATGATCCAGTACTGATTTCACGACTGATTCAAGCTAACATCAATCCTGATTCAGACTCCAAACTTTTGGTTGTGTACATCACTCTGTCCATGATGAGTAGTGTTACTATACTCATCATGGACTCCTGCAGCTACATATTACCTGCACTACTGCAAAAACTAATAAGACATTGGTGTAATGTACACCAAGTAATTTACACTATGTAGATCTACTAGCACTAGTACAGCAGCACATACTATACAAATAAAAAAATTATTTTGACATGATTAATTAATCACACTTAAACCAATAGTGACATTACTATCCTATTAGGAAGAATCATATGAGAAGAGGAAGGAGAGAGAGAGAGACAGGGAGGAGGGAGAAAAGAGTTAGTGTGTGCAACAGAGAAAGAAGATAAAGAAACACAAAGATCTGTGGGGAAGAGGGTATCATGTTGGTGATGATTTTCTATTAATTTCAAAGTGTATGTGTGAGTGTTTTTGAACTAATGACCAAACATAAGGAACAAAGAACTCATCAGGTTGGGATTCTTCAACATAACGGAACTTTAACTCAGAAAATTTCTATGAGAGAGAGAAGAATAAAAGTACTATAATTCTTTCCTTTTTCATTTACTCTTAATCTGCTTCTTGGCCATGTTTTTGAATATTTTTTAATGACATCAGTCACAAATTGAGCAGAAAATGGAGGAGTACCGTCCTTCTCGACATTATTCGCAAAAAATGTAATAACCTACACAAGAACAAGTATCTATCAACCTCTTTCTCTCCCCCTCTCCTCCCCCCCCTCTCTCTCTCTTACCATTTCAATATTATTAACCAGGTCTATAAAACCTGGTCGGCCATGATAAGGTGTGAAAATCTCTCGTTGATAAAGCAGTGAATACACAAAGTGTGGATTAACATGAAGCGTGTACGTTAAACTCGAATTTATGATTTCTAATAACATCAACAATATCTCCTGGAGTGTCTCAGTGTCAGCCTAATAACCACACCCATCATTAATTAAATCATTATTCATTATCTTTGCTATTATTATGTTTACCAGTTCTGTGGGTGTGGTAGGTGAAGTAGGTGTGGTTGGGCTGGTGGGTTGGGCTCCAGTTATTGCTGGTATTGGCTCTCCTTTGGATTTAAGATACTTCCTACTCAGTACACGAAATAAACTGAAGAGAAAAGAGAGAGAGAGAGAGAGAGAGTAATATAGGGACACCAAATTTTTTACATTTTCTGATACGTACATATTAATGTACTTATGCTATGTAGC